TGTAATGGTTAGAGCCGTTTGCCGGTTGCTGCTTGCGTAATCTGATGCTCTCGCGATCCTAGCGATCGGATACCGAAGTGTCCAAGGCGAAGAGAGGGTGTGCCTGGACGAGTTGTCAGTCGTTGGCATCATAACCGGCTGTTTTCCATTATGACCCACTGTCATAATTCGGAATGGAAAGTGTCAGTAGCGGAACACCTCTTCACCAGGAAGTCCTTAGAAATGAAATTTTGGTGTCAGGGTCGGTTAGTGGGCGGAGCGGTGCCTTCATCACAGGCGGTTGGCGCTGCTATTACGTATTTTTGGGCCCAAAAGTGATACATCTTCTGTGGCTTCGGACAAGACCACCGTGTCCAAAGAAGGCGTCTGAACATTAAATGAACACGTAGCGTGCATTTAAGGTTTCCACGCGTGGATAACTCATTGTTGACTACAGTTTTTTTTGCAAAAGGCTCAGAAAGTTCGAAATAACAAAAAGCTAGGGTGCCCCTATATTTTGTGTTAGGTAGTGTATCTGGAAATAAAATAATCTCGAAAAAAATGGGAAGACGGTGCAGAGACGGTGGAGAGGAACGCCCCTTTTTTCGTTGGAGATGAACCATTCCTCACGAATTACTTCAACCACTTTTTGATAAAGAATTTGCTTCATCCATCTGGAGTGCCTTCATGCTAGCATGCCTCTACGCTTAGGTAGGGATTCTTATCCCTCACAATAGTTCGCAATCTTCAGCACTCTCAGCACTAATTACTGTCCAGCATTTGCAATGCAGTGGTTTTCTGGAATAAATAGATGAATATTAAAAAATTGGAGTAATAGTGTACACGTGAAATAGGTAAGCGATGCTTGACTGGAGCTTCCAGGACTTTATGAAATGGTCTGGTACGTTGACATGGGTTCACCGAACGCCACTATCCCCGCCCACCGGACCTCTTCTTCGTGTCTGATTTTCTTTGTATGAGATTTTGCCCCTGTATATCTCTATCTCTCTTCTCTCTCTCTCTCTCTCTCTCTCTCTCTCGCTCTCTCTCCTCTGCCTTCTATCATATTCTGTTTAGATCCCTTTCACCTTCCGATCTTATTTGACGTTCCGACCTCATCTTTTTCGTTTCTCGCTTCATTTTTCCTGTCCTCGATTGAGGAGCAGAGATGAGTCCGATTTCTTGTTGGAAGCACC